GTGTGTATGTAAATATATATATGCATACACACATACATACACACACACACCGTACACGCGCATACCCCCACACACATACATACATACATGCATACATACATACATACATACGCACACACACACAAACACACATACACCCCTACTCACACACACATCATCCCTGTTCCGAGCATAGCTGGAGACCGTTGGCGAGGAAACGGATGCGCTCAAGCTGCAAACAGCACGAATGCAGCAACAGCAACGAGACACGTACAACCAACTGGCAGAGGCCAAGGCAGCCCATGCCGCTGAGGTGGCCGATCTCAGGGAGCAGCTCACGGCTGAGTTTGAGGAGAAGGAGTTGTACCAAGCGCAGGTGTGTGAAGTGAAGGGAAGGAGTGGGGTGGGGGTGTCTGTGTGAGTACTTATGTAGGAGTTTGGGTGGCTGAGGAAAGTGTAAGACAGCTGGTTTTGGTGTGAGTATAGCCATACAGTTTGATGAAGGTATCTTTATTCTGGCCTATGTGTGGTTTTGTCATACATCTTGAGATATATATATTTATATATCCTTATTCTTATCCTTATCCTTATTCTTATCCTTATCCTTATCCTTATTCTAATACACATGTGCTGTTTTTTATACCTCGCTGTCTTAGGCATTCCACACACAGGAGAAGCTCAAGATGACTGTAGTCAAACTACAGCAGTCAATGGTTGCACAGGTGGCAACTAAAGGATCCACCATGAGCAAGCAGGACTGGAAGGAAAAACGCGAGGAGAAGATGCACAAGCAAGAGCTCAAGAACTTCATGGTAGGAGGCTGTGTATACAATAAAACTTGTGGTATTATGTGACAAAGACTATATATACATATATATATATATATATATATACTTTCGGATTGTTTTATTGACTATGTCACTACTACTCGCTCTAGGCTGAATGAGATGCAATGAGAGTTTGCAATGAATGAATGCATGCACTGCATTGCTGACCATCCCTTCCTGTCGCAATTGGCACTTAACAAAGTGTGGGTGCATTGTGAGAGGTCCCAACCGCTCTCTCATACGATCTACTACTAGATATCTATATTTTTGTACAAAAAAAATAGATACTCGAGTATATATTTATGTATATATATATGTATATATATAATATATACTAAAGCGTATATACATGTATAGGAGTGTTTCTATGTAGTTTAATATGCCTTTTACCTACCCACTCTCACCCGCGTGCAGAGAAAATATGAGGAGGAAGTGGCAAACAACAAGACACTGCAAGAGGAGAACACCTCACTCACGAACCAGGTGCAGCAGATGCTCATGGACATCGAAGACGTAAGTGAGTGTGCTATAAATAGCTTAGGTTTCATGTGTGATATAATTAGAATGGCCATGTTTAGAACACCTCACTCAAGAACCAAGTGTAGCAGATGCCACCTATCTACCATGAAAAGAGCTTTAAACCCTAAACCATCTACCTACCATCAAAAGACCTCTAAATCCTATACTATCTACCTACCATCAAAAGAATTTTAAACCTTATACCATCTACCTACCATAAAAGGCCCTTTAAACCCTAAACTATCTACCTACCATCAAAGGTCCTTTAAACCCTAAACCATCTACCTACCATCACGCAGCTGAACGATAGACTGGTGTGTGCGGAGGATCAGATGGCCAACGTGGTAGACCGCGCTACAGTCAAGAGCTTTGACCGACTCTCTCAAGTGGACATACACATCCCCCGACGCATCAGTATGTGGTGCTAGCTGACATGCTTATACCTACGTGTATATCAGATGGTGATAGAGTGCATATTAGATGGTTAGGGGATTAGGGTTTGGTAGGTTCTACTAATGTGTATGCAAGTATGGTAGTAGTGATGCTATGTTTAGTCCTGTGTATATGTCCGTGTGTATTTACTATTATTTTAAGATATATGCACCTAGAGTAAAGCCAGTACTAGCTTGTGGTAGGAACGTCTATATCGCATTCTTTCTAATCCTCACCCACTCATAATCGCTCTGTCCACTCAGATATACACCACATTCAACAACCACTCACATCCACTCTGTCTACTCCGTTCTATAAATAGCCAATACTCTCAACAGCCGCCGTGCGCCAATGGACATGTGGGCCAGGATCCCAAAGTCCAAAAAGAATCTCAAGAAGGGCTGGGACACGGTGTTTGTTCGTCTCAACTACCACGCACGTGAACTGCAAGTGTTTAGTAGAGAACCGGCCGAGCTTACTACACAGGTGTGTGGGAGGACACATGCATGACTCATGCATGAGTCATGTGTATGGGTTGTATGTATGTGTGGATACCTCTTTTAGTAGTATGCGTCAAACGGTAGTGTATCGGAGATAATGGTAAGTGACAATTAAATAGCTGCATATGACTTAACAGAGATAGAGCAGTTAATACCTGTGTATGTGTATATGTCCTTATTGCACGTGTATGTATATATGAGCGTATTACATGCGTATGTATATTTGTACTTAATACCTGTGTAAATGTATATGTCCTTATTGCACGTGTATGTCTATATGAGCGTATTACATGCGTATGTATATTTGTACTTATTATCTGTGTATGTGTATATGTCCTTATTGCACGTGTATGTATACATGAGTGTATTACATGCGTATGTATATATGTACTTATTACCTCTGTATGTGTATGTCTGTATTATGTATTTTATGTATACATGACACCTCTATGCATGTGCGTTGACATACTTGAAGGGTCATAGTTGGCCACAGGCTGTGTGTACCCTGGTAATGTCGCAAACCTTTTGAACACCCATTCTGGTCGTAAATTAGCATTACGCACACTTTCTGTTAACTCCCAGCGCGTAATCGGAGTGTGGACTTAGAGATCACTGAAATCGTCGGAAATGTCGCAAACTAATTTAACACACACCGCTTCGTCGCAAATACACAGTCGGACCAAACGCAGGGTCTGCTAATGAGCGTGAGTCTGACGGACATTAAAATCGCACGCGCGCCAAATAGGAACGAGGCCCACTCGGTCAAGAGTGAATTTTTGGCGGCAATGTTTTATATTATATACTACCCGCCGCAACAATGTACCAATCAGATGGACGGACGGGCGACCATCAAGTCCAACATCTCCAGCAACTCTGAGGGGGGTCTGGGACTACACCAGTATGTGGTTGTGGTGTATGAGTGTGGTGGTATTTGTATATGTACATATGGTTAACTCGGTCTGTATCAATAAGGGGCTGAATATATATATATATATATATGTGTGTGTGTGTGTGTGTGCGTGTGTGTGCGTGTGCGCGTGTGTGTGTGTGTGTGTGTCTACAAGTGTATACTATACTTCTTATCTACCCACCCTTGCTCATATAAAACCCTAAAACCCTGCCGCTCGCCCAACAGAGCCACGGGCCATGTGCTGAAAGAGGTGTTGCAAACAAAGCCATCGTGGTGCACCGTGTGTTCTGAACGCATCTGGAGCTTAAAGGAGAAGCAGCTGAAGTGCACAAACGTGTCAATGCAGAAGGTGTGTGCGATGCATAGTACGTACTGGGCCACCGGTATGTTACACCCGTACATATCACACATACATCATATCACACATACATCACTTATAAGTGGTTCTTCATAGGTCTTCTCTTGCCCGTGGGTCGGTATGCTCCAACTGAGCTGCGTCGCTTGCGAGCGAGGGACTGTGCGGAAACCAGCGGACAGAGCGTGGTTAGGGTTTGGGGTTTAGGGTTCAGCGTGGTTAGGGTTTGGGGTTTAGGGTTCGGCGTGGGTGTATGTTTGTGTTTAGGTATGTTTGTTGAGCAAGCTCGCCTATCACACACACAAGACATTGAAGGCAATCTGAGCCCCATCTATCTACCCGCATCTATATCCGTAACTAGGGTTATACCCAATACTTACCATGAGAAGACTTTAGGAACTCATCTGCCTCCTTTCGATACCCATAGCGCTGCATGGAGTGTCATTATCTCATACTTTTGGGGATTCAGTCTTGGTCTGAAAGTTCTATTTATAGAACGAGTACGACCAAACGCTGGATATAGAATCCTTAACTCATATTTCTAGTTTTCTCACCTCAATCTTAATGTTCTATTTATAGGACGAGTGTGACTGCACAATCCATAGTCGGTGCATCTCCCTACTGAAGACGCACAACATGTGCTCCATCGCCACTCAGGCGCAGCAGCAGTTCTTCCTGTGCAAGAATGTGGATGTGCGATCCACCTGGGTAGGAGCCATCTTGAGCGAATCGGTACGTACAATACAATATATATATGTATATGTATATGTATATGTATATATGTATATATATATAGTATATATATATATATATATATATATATATATATATATATATATGTATAGTATTATATATATATATATATATATATATATATTGTATATGTATGAATGTGTCTTGAAATATGTATGTGTTGTGCCTTTCAAGTTAGGTACAAATCATCTGAAATCTGTGAACATTTATTCACATTTCAGTATCAATTTTGCAAGCATGTAGGCATGCTCGTAACTGTTTACGTAAGCGAATCTATTGCCAATCCCGGAGTATAGCTGGAGATCATACTGATTTGTTCTTTAGTGTGCCTAGCATAAGGGGCGAGACTCCGCCCGTGTGTATACGTACATGTACAACGTTAACCACATGTTTACATCTGGTCATGTGAGTGTGGTGTTGTGTGTATGATTGCTCCCGTCGCACGCTCCTATATATATATATATATATATAAACCTCCCTCTGAAAGTAAGTCCACCTGAACACTAAGTCTTCATTCCAACAAATATATTTCCTTCCTTCCTTCTTATACATATCGCATCTGCTTCATCCACCCACCAACCAGGCATCGTCACAGCCGTAGTCGACCCGCCGGTACCCACACAGCTTCAAAACCAACCGCCCAAAAGCGTCATCAGAACCACATACAATACAAACACGTATACATATAACAGTAGGTTAGGGGTAGCTTTTATGCTCTCATCTGTATATATTATTGTAGGTCAGCGTAGCTGTCAGAACACTTGTGCCCGTGTTGTACACCACACAAGATGCCTGGATTTGACTTTATTGAAGCGAGTGGTTAATACATCCCGTTGAGATCTGAATCCCAACAATATACATGAACCATGTACCACATGCTTACGTATGTAGACATGTGGGCAGCATACCCGTATTGTATTCCCAACCCACTCAACTGACCCAGGCAGACGAATAAAGTTGAAAAAGGAGCCGAAAGTGTACACGTGGAAAAAATAACTATGCGTGCATTGTCGATAAATATTTCGATATGTATCTTGATGATGCACTCATTGCGTGCTATTTATACTCCCCTTGATATTTGTTAATAGTACGTGAGATAGTATGTAAATAGATATTTGTTAATAGGATTCCAGATACACAACTGCTGCATAAAGAATTCACTACTGCTTTACAGTGTTCCCAATCATATTTTTAAGTGTACATTCATGTCACAAGCAATCACGGCAGCAATCTCAAACTTATGTGCAAGAGAAAAGAAAGTATATATGCGATATATAAACTAATAAACAAATTTTATTAATAGATTGGCGATAGTATAGCGGAATTCTCGAGAAAGCAAACAGAAATCATTCAATGATATTGAGCTACACCTTACTGCACTACATACTGCACTCCATCTTGAGTGTAAAAATATATCACGGGGATCCTTTATAAACAAGCACCAAATGGGCAGTTCAGTATGATCGAAAGTGCGGCTGCTTTATATAAAGCTCCCGTGCCAAGCTCCTCTAGTGAAAGAGCAGAGCCGGTGGATATATATGTTTTAAGGTTTATCGTATCCCGCATCGTCTATTGATTGGGGTGAGTTCCGATTTAGTTTCGAGTGTTGGTCACCGTGGTGTATACTATAATACTAGAGAGACGACTGCACTTTGAAAAAATCCTCGCCAAGGGATGATTATAAAGCTGCAGTCAGGTATTCTCAATTTTGTTTGTAAATAGGCAAATATTTTGGTGTTTTTCTTCTGTTTTGCTACTAAAATATTTATATAAATATATAAAAGTAAAAACAAATGAAAGACTTCTTGCCGACTTGCCCTGCTCTGGTGGAGTCTAATGGAGACTGGAGAGTTAAAGTCAACAGAACTTTATTTTTAAATCATTTATTTTTTCTTGCTATAAATATATTCTTTGCAGAAAACAGTTATTTATTACTATTTTGTTTAGAAAATCCAGAAAATGTCAAAAAAAAATTGTCGAAGACTGGGATGTATTTTGTTTTTAAAAGCATGTATTTTCTTTACTTTTACATACATACATACCTTCTTCTAAACAAGGCTATTTATGATTTTTTTGTTTTATGCGATCCGCCGATCCTCATCCTCGTCCTCGAGGCTCTTTTTTAACCCTATTTTTTAAAAGAACAAAAGTCTTCTGACCTGTGGACAAGGGAGTCGGGGCTGTCTCGGGCTATTTTTTATTATTTAGCCTCTTCAGACTTCAAGTCTTCAACACGCTGTAACTCACTGTTGTATTTATTTGTTTTTTAAATAAATACTTCCTGTTTTTACAGTCTTTCCCCCCACACCACCAAGTCCCCCAATCCCAGGGCCCAGTCGCCCAGGGTCCCCTGGTCCAGGGAATCCAGATTACAGGCGGCCAGCGCCCAGCGGCCCAGCGCCCAGCCTGCCTAGTGCCTGCCCTGCCAGCAGCGCCAGGCCACTGATGCTGAGCCTCTGAGTCTGAGGCCAGGCGCGGGCGCCTTGTTAAAAAAAAGCTTTTTGTTTTGAAATAAAGCTTTTTATTTGAAAGGCAGGAAAAACTGAAATAGCTTGACTGATATCATCTAATGAATGGATAATGAACACGGCTCAAAATTTTATCTGTTTGAAGTAAACTGTATAAGTTTGACCAATCAAATATTAATTATTGAAGTACATGAGTATTCAGCGATCAAAAATTTGATAGTCCTAAGACTCCTAAATCTCCTGATGTTTTCTGTATCTTCGATTTTTGACATCCGGTTTTATTTTATTTTTTAAATTTGTTTTTAACAAAATCAAGTCTTCTATTTTGTTTCCAAACAAAAAAGAGGTAAAATCCGTTTTTTTTTACAAATAGATTTTAGAGGAGTCTGTAGACTGTAGTATATGAGGGTACCTAATCCTGAGGCCAGAAGAGGCCTGAGAGTCGAGAGACTGCTACTTGATGTTGTAGCGGTATGTATTTACAAACGGAATATAAGTTCCAACTTTTATTTTAAAATATTAACTTTTTTGATTTTTTCAAAAACGTAATTTTAAAAAACCCATTTATTTAGGTCAAATCAACTTCTAAAAAAATGGAAACTGCACTCAATAAGCTATCCTATCGTTGATACTTTTAGACCACGAAATTGATAATAGGCAATCAAAAGGGATTTGAGCGTTTCAGTTGTGACGACTGTCACCTGAGTGACCTTAAAAAAGGCACCTATCATATATGAAAGGGTACTATCGAGATATAAAAGTTGCAACTAATGTTTTTTCGAAAGTTGCAACTTTTAACGCATTGAGCTTAGGGCCGTCTTAGCCTGAGAGGCTGAGACTTGAGGCTGAGACTTGAGATTTGAGAATTGGCCCGTTGAGAGAATATATTACTCTATCGCCTCGTAATTGATTTTTCTGAATCACATTTTTTTGTTTTTATATTACTCTTTGTGTGGACTTTTCGTCATTCGACTCCATTCCCCCTGAGTCCTGAGTCCTGAGGGGCTGAGGCTCGATCATAAAAGGCCAGGCCCGCTCCTGATATTCAGCGGCCCAGCCATAGTCTTTTAAAAAAAAGACTTTCAGCTCTCACATCAAAAGGTACTATTATATATAATTTTCATAAAAATCAGGTATATATCTCGTTCCCAGGTACCAAAGTCAGAAATATTTATATCTCGATTCCAGACAGTCCAGAGTCGAGTATGCATCTCTCTCTACTAGAAGTCGCCCAGAGACTCATACTCCTCACTCCTATCCTTACTCTTATGTCCTCTCAGTCAATAGACTCATCACACAAGGCACACCTTCTTAAACATCCGACTACCATATTTGAAAACTTCTTCGACCCGAGTTCAACGAATCAGTATCCACATCTTCCGATTATGTAAATTTCTTTCTTTGTTTTACAAATATTTTATACAGTTTTAACATCGTAGCTTTCAATTTACAATATCTATAAATAATTTTTTTATAAACTTCTAGGGCTAAAAAAAGGGCAATTTAGGGCCTGAACTATTTTGATTTGTTGAGTTTTAACATCGTAGCTTTCAATTTACAATATCTATAAATAATTTTTTTATAAACTTCTAGGGCTAAAAAAAGGGCAATTTAGGGCCTGAACTATTTTGATTTGTTGGTTTTAAATTAAAACCAAAATTTTACAAACCAGTTGAAACTAGAGAAACCGCGCTTTCGCTGGCGGCACACTCTCAGTCTCACTCTCTCTTGTTGTTACTGGGTACCAGCCTGCCAGGGTGTGCTGTGTACGCCGTGTTACGGAGTACGGACCGGTGTGGCCGTAACCGTGGCGGTGGGGGCGGGGGGTCGTGGGTTAACTGTAAAAAGTTGTGAACTTGCTTGTTGTGAAGTTGAGTGTAAATACTAAATACACTTGTTTTTTTTTTGGTTTGTTTTTCAAAAATACAAAATATACAACAAAAAAAGTGTGTGGGTGTCGGGCTGTTGGCCCTGGGGCCTGGACTCTAGAGCCCTGGGCAGCCTATTATATGTAGGCTACTGGCCTGCGGGGTAGACGTGAGCTGTGAGACTGTGAGTGTGGGACTGTGAGGCTGTGCCGACGCTGTAGGCTTGTTTTTCTTGAAGTGTTGGTGTGTACTGCGTACAGTAGAATCGTAGATACCTAGATATGGCACTGTGGCAGTGTGCACATTTGTATTTTTGAAAACAAACTCCAATTCGTTACATACTCTCGTTTTTTAGTATGTAAAGCATTGGGAATTTGGGATCTGGGGCTGGTTGAAAACCGACCTGTAGAACAGCCAATCGTGGGCTCGTGGGTTCTTTTATTTGTCGTGGAGCCTAGAGTCCGGAATTAAGGCTCTCTGTGAACTCTGGAGAGTAGAGAATGTATGACGCACGTTTTCACGAATATGAGAGAGGAGTCAGAATACTTGGAAGAGTCGCAAAAAAAGAAAAAGACCTATGTATGCTGCGAAAGTTTATGACTTACACGCGCGTATTTACAATCCGGTTTCGGATATATGTATGCA